AGAACCCCCAGGGCTCGGCTTGATTCTGTTCTCCAGGCTCAATGTGTCCTCAGACCGGCAATACAATAGTGGGGCCCGCTTGGTGACGCGCTTGATGCCAACAGTGCCCTAGAAAAAGTTGGGTGAGGGATAGCTGGTAAATTGCAGCTAATGCTTATGTAAACAGACTTGCTTTTCTTCAGAGCAGTTGAAATCGCCGTGTTGATCAACTCATGGGCAACATCCAATTGATTCACATTATGTTGGCCTATGATTGTTCTAGTCCATAGATATCATCCCCATCATCCATACCATAGCTTACGGATCGAGGCCCAATTCCCTTCTCTCTTCTTTCGAGTTTCTCCAGGAACCGGAAACTTGGAGGGACTGTACAAAAACGAGATAATCACATATGCTAGATACTTAACTATATCAATGAATCCAACATCAATTCACAAAAAGTAAAAAGGAGGTTACACCGTACAAGGTTCACCATTCATCCAATTCATCCACAACCAATTTTATGCCATCGGGAGTGTACAAAGCTACGATCATCATAGCAATATTTGGACAAACCAATTGCAACAAATAACATCAAATTTCATGCAAGGCAGTACTGAAAATTAGCATGTCATAAAATTTTCTTTTCCCTCAAAGGAGAAGAACATAACTAGCAAATTTTGGGTGCACAGTATGCAAGTCAAAGCAATGATCATTTTGAATCAATTGATATTTTCATCAAAAATACAAACTAATCTCAAATCAAATCAACTGAAACACACCGACCTAGACAAGTAGATTTATGACCAGAGAAATGCACCATTCACCAAAAATCCAACTAAAGCACCAAAACATTCAAAAATCGATCCAATCGAAAATGCCACCGCCGCACAGAGAAAGGGCTTACATGGAAAACGCATCTATCACGGTTGGCGAAAATCGAAATGTGTCTAATCTAAAATCTTCAGACGAGTAAGGAAAGACGGATTCGTCTATGGTTACATCATCCACGGGCTGAAAGACGGGTTCTTCTAATTCTCGTTGTGCAAGACACTCGTTAGCTTCCTGCAGCATAAATAATATAAATAACCACTATAAGCTCAGAGACATACTACAACATTTCACTAAAATGAAAATTTATATTAGTAATATACAAAAAAAAAAACTTCATAGCTGTGATAGAATCACAATTTCAGGCACCAATTAAACACTGTCAGTCCCAAAAATACGTGCAGGCTATGCCCACAGGTAAACACACATTCATGAAATCTTAGCTAAACATGCAAATAGGTAACCAATCCAAACTACTGACGACTATATCAGTAAGCAAGAATGCCATATCTGAGAAAATGTTCCATATTTGAAGTACCTCTGTCAAAGGTTCAGGCCTGTTAAACTCGTGAAGAGATTGTCCGATCTCCAAAGCTCCCCAAGGTGCATCCCCAAGGACAAACCTCCCAGCCATGAACCCCAAGGCGAAGTAGACTGCGGCAATGAAATGTCACGCGCTAGGCTCGATGTCGGACTTCTAGATCAATTTCATCCGCCAATTCGAACTTTACTTGAAACGAACGAACATCAGTCAATTGTCGCAGGCGTGCCGTCTGCTTCATACTCGACGTTGAGCCTCCGGTCGATGCTGCAGGTGAGGAGGCGGGGGCGGCGGTGGATGACATGGCCGATGTTGGCGGCGAGGACATTGGCTTCGTGGAACAGGTATGTGGCCGCGGGAACCACGAACGAGGCAGTGATACCGAGTGAGATCTGGTCGGTGTTATGCCTCGCCGTGAAATTCCCGATTTCCGCCGTTGCCCTAAAACGGCCAGAGAAAATCTGTTGGCAATAGATTCCCTAATTAACCAAGTGACGCTGTGCTCTATCGACGTCAACGTCACTGAAGATGGATGCGGCGGCGCCGGCGCCGTCGGAGATGGCGCAAGGGGACAGTTGCGGTGCGAATTGTGCTGTAGACGGCAGAGACGATTGGGGAATCTCTCTTCTCTGATATGCTTCAAGCTGCGGACCACGCGAGAAAGCTATTCCGTTGACGTAAACGGCACTCAAGACGGCGGCGTCGACGCGGATGGCATAGCAGACGAGTGCGGCGGCGCGGCGGGTCGTGCTGTAGATGGCACCATAGACGATTGGGGCAGGTTTCTTCGCCGACGAGCTCGGGCCTCCGGGCGAGCAGGTGCTTGACGAAGTCCATGGCACATGACGGCGGCGACACGGCTTAACCAGACGGTGAAGTAGGTTGTGGCCTGGTGGGTGCGACGGGATAGAGAGAGAAAGTAGGGGGGGTGGGGTGGGTGGTTGTGGGTCTCGTGGGTGAGGTGAGAGAGAAGATTCGGGAAAATATCTATAATGGCCTTAGTAAGTGTAAAACCTTCTCTTTTTTTGAGTACTAAATTATCCTATCCGATGGTTATAATTTATTTTTATTTCTTTCATTGAGAATTATTCTCATCAGAGCGCGACCTTTAAGTTGCATATATTATATTTAAGAAATTAGCATTAACTTTAACAAGGTTTAACCCGATCATGGACTTTGTTGCCAAAACCACCTCAGTAGAGTTAGAATAGCTTCTGCCACAACGGATATTCGAGTTAGCTGACAATTGGTACAAAGCTGTCCAGAATTGCTAGGGAAAATGAGAGTTCGGCTCATGATGAGGTGATTGAAGGTTAGCTCAGAATTTTTCGAAAAAATACAGGGAAATTAGAGTGGTTCCCAATGCATTTAGTTATCAGGCTTTAATCCGGGAATTGTTTGGAAGAAGCTGGAGGACGAGTTGGCGTTTGTTATCGAGATGTTGGAGGCTTGGCATGCTCCGAACCTATTCCACTTTTACGGGGTTAGTAGATGATGATGATGCGTTCTGTACAGGACTTCAAACTTTACATTATCGTATTTTCATTTACTACGTTGTACGATCACCTTCAACTGTATAAGAAGTAAATATGTGTAAGGTAAAGCACTTGGAGCTTGGAACTTTGGAGCATGTTTGTATACAAAAAGTTTTACTCAAAATTTCATTCAACTCAAAATTTAACTCAACTTTAACTCAACTTCAATATTTTCAATTAATATTATCAATATATATATAATTAAATAATATTATCAAATCATTCTTACACATCACATCTTGGAACTTTGGAGCATGTTTGTATACAAAAATTTTTACTCAAAATTTCATTCAACTCAAAATCTAACTCAACTTTAACTCAACTTCAATATCTTCAAGTAATATTATCAATATATATAATTAAATAATATTATCAAATCATTCTTACACATCATATTGTTGACAACTCAAAATCCAATTCTCCATCAAGCCCAAATGGGGTTCCATTCCATTCTAAAATCAATTGGCTATATGAGTAGCCCACCAAGTTTATATATTAGACTTAGAACCTTTAATTTTCCGACGTAGGATTGGTTTTTCACACCCTGTAAACCTCCCCTCAAACACAAAACCACATTGGACCTTCCCTTGAACGAAATTCATACAACCCGACCATCTTGTACGCCGTTATCACCCACGGAACCCGCAGCCTGATCACCCTTTCGCCAGGAAGACTTTTGACACAAGGTACACGGATCCACCAGCAGTCCACTGGCTCCCCTGGGAACATGCCACGTCATCCACATCGCAACTGGGCTATCAACCATGGCTTTGATACCAATTGTTAGGACCAACAACTCAAAATCCAGTTCTCCATCAAGCCCAACATACAAACCCAAATGAGGTTCTATTCTAAAATTAATTGGCTATAGAAGGAGTAGCCCACCAAGTTTATATATTGGACTTGGAACCTTTAATTTTCCGATGTGGTATTCGGTTTGCACACCCTACACACATCTACTTTATTTCATTATTCAATTGCAATTCTGATTTAGGTTAAAAATGTGCCCCTTGACAAGAGTATGAGGACAATTCAAAAGTTTGTGGGGAGGACGAATTGCGAAGAATCAATATAATTAAATAATAATGAGAGTTTTTTCAATACAAGACCCGAAAGATAGGATAACTATCAATTCGGAGCCTAAAAAATTTGTTTTCTCAATTTGGGACTTAAATCTTGTAAAACTATCAATATTAGTCTTAAAACTAATAGAAACCATAACACCGTGAATGTTAGNAAAAAAAAAAGGAAAAAAAATAAAACCAGATAAATGCAATGGGCCCGTTCGAAGATGATGGTTCTTGTTAATCGGCCATGGCCAAATGAAACTATAATGCAAAATCACCTTTTTTATTTTTTTTTATGCCTAATATTGTTCAAGTTTTACTGTCAGTTTCGTTTCCTTTCTTTTTTATTTTGTTGTTTTTATTATTTTTTTAACCTTTGTACTTTGTAGATTTGGCCATTTGCGCGTCTTAAAACTCAAAATTAACAGTGTGTTAATGGAGGTTAAATTACTGTTAATTTTAGGACTTATATCGATAGTTTTATAATTTTTAGGTCCCATATTGAGAAAAGAAAAATATTTTAGGCCCCAATTTGATAATTAATCCATCTTTCGGGTCTTGGACTGAAAAAACTCCAATAATGCCATCAAATCATTCTTACACTTCACATCTACTTTAATTCATCATTCAAATATTAAAATTAATACACATTTGTTTATAAATATATTATTCATTTAATTACATATTAATTACTATCAATTATTATTTTACTATATTCTATCACATTATAATTAATTATTATTCATAAAAACATATTATTTACTATTTTACTATATCCTATCACACCATATTGAATTATATTTTATAAAAGTAAAATAACTACTTGGAAACAAATTAAGTTGGATACATATCAACTTCACTTGTGTTTGTAATTTTATTTTTTTTAAAACTAACATGCAACGGTTTTACAATTAACCCGGCCAACACGCTGGAAAAAAACCGGGCAATATGACAACAGTTTAAAACTCTACCCCGAAACGACGAGAATTTACCCGACCCGAACCGAATTGGGAAGTTCCACATTCTTCTAGAATGTAGCAGACATGCAGATTTCCAGAGCCATCTACTCTCCTGTGTCTTCCCAAACTGACGAGACGGACCATAAAATTGGACCCCAATCAATCAATCTGTAAACTCCATACTTAAAAAGGCGCAACCCTAACTGCACAATCAATCATCGTAGCTATATAGAAGAACACAAGGATTCGTAGCTGAAGAATAATAGGAAGAAGGCCCCAAGGGATGGGTGTGGATTACTACAAAATACTGCAGGTGGACAAAAGTGCTAAAGACGACGACTTGAAGAAGGCTTACAGGAAGCTTGCCATGAAATGGCACCCTGACAAGAACCCCAACAACAAGAAGGAAGCTGAGGCCAAATTCAAACAAATTTCTGAGGCTTACGAGGTATGATATATGAATTTTGTCTCAATTTGTGTGTGTGTGTGTGTGCTTTTTTTATGCGGGTTGGCATTTATTACCCATAGAAGAAATTAGCATTTGTGTAGCGATTTTTCTGTGTTTGTTCGATTGATCTGAGGGATTCAGAATACCTGGTGTAGAAGTTGCTATTTGCGAGTTAATTCACCGTAGCTAAAGAAAACTCAGATTCACAAATAAATGTTCTGTATTATGACCTGAGTGAATATATTTTGGGGTTTTTTTTTTTTTTTGGGTATATTTGNTTTTTTTCGTTCAATCGTTGTCTGGTGGAGGAATTTGTCATTACCAATCACTTGTTTGAATCTGGGGAGAAGGGATTGATAATCCATCTACTGACTTTCTTTACAGGTTTTAAGTGATCCACAAAAGCGAGCAATTTACGACAAATATGGTGAAGAAGGCCTCAAAGGCCAAGTGCCGCCACCGGATTCCGGCAGTCCTGGTGGTGCATCATTCTTCCAAACGGGAGATGGGCCGAATGTATTCAGATTCAACCCCAGAAATGCAGATGATATTTTTGCCGAGTTTTTTGGATTTTCGAGCCCGTTTGGAGGGATGGGCAGTGGTAATGGAATGAGGGGTAGTTCAAGATTTTCAGGTGGATCAATGTTCAGTGATGACGTTTTTAGCTCTTTTGGTGAGGGTAGACCTATGAGTATGGGTCCAAGAAAGGCTGCACCAATTGAGCAGAAATTGCCTTGCAGCTTGGAGGAACTGTACAAAGGAGCCACGAAGAGGATGAAAATTTCTAGGGAGATATATGATGCCAGTGGGTATGTTTCAATTTCCTGTTAATGTTTGATTTGTTGTTTACTTGATGAAGATCTTGATTATTGTTTGTGAAGCTGAGTACTTACTTATTTCTTTTTATTTCGATAATCTGTCCTGAGAAACTCTGACCCGCAGATTCATGGCTACTTACTGCAGATCACCGAAATAAAAAACTCTTCCTCCTTTATTTGGTTCATTTGAATTCCATATTCAAAGTTGGGAAAATGAAAATATAGGACTTGTGACAAATCTGTTCTGTTTTAGTTGTAGCTTGTGACTTGAACTGATCAAATGAAGTTTTTGAATTCACTGTTTGGTATAATTTCATGGAAAGTGTTTGTTGGTCTACTTTTCGGGTATAAAATCTGTGTTGTGATTGCCTACAGTATTATATTGCAGCTCATGTGGCTTGAGTTTGTTTCTAACTATAGCTTATAGTATGAAAGGGAGTTAGATTTTGGAGATGCTTGTTACTAGAAGGTACAATTCTAAGGGCTTGCTTATGTACAAATATATTCGTACAAAATGAGTTTTTGTAGTTAATCAGAATTAATTTTTTTAATTAATTATTAGTTAATCAGAATCAATTTTTAGTTGATTAATTTGAATTCCATATTCAAAGATAGGACTTTTCACAAATTCGTTCTGTTTTAGTTGTAGCTTGTGACTTGAAATGATCAAACGAATTCACAGTTTGTTATAATTTCAACGAATGTGAGGCTTAAACAATGATTATTTTCTCTATTGTGCAGGAAAACCTTACCAGTTGAAGAAATCCTGACTATTGACATAAAACCCGGCTGGAAAAAAGGGACTAAAATCACATTCCCAGAAAAAGGAAACGAGCAGCCGAACATCATCCCTTCAGACTTAGTCTTCATAATTGATGAGAAGCCGCACAGCGTGTTCACTAGAGATGGAAATGACCTTATCGCCACTCAGAAAATATCTCTAGTCGAGGCTTTAATGGGCTACACAGTCCACCTCACGGCCCTTGATGGTAGAAAACTCACCATACCTATAAACTCTGTGATTAATCCCAACTATGAGGAAATCGTGCCTCGAGAAGGTATGCCTATTCCTAAGGAGCCTACCAAAAGGGGGAATTTGAGGATCAAGTTTGACATTAAGTTTCCAACTAGGCTGACGAGCGAACAAAAATCTGGCATAAAGAAATTGCTTTCGTCGTGAGTATTTTTGAGGAAATTGATTTTGTATTTTGTTTTGTAGATGTTCTGTTATCAGTTGTGGTGTTCATTTTGTTGTGTTTCTTGGTCGGTCTATTTTCGGGTATAAAATCGGTGTTGTGAGTGCCTACAGTTGCAGCTCATAACCATAGCTTATAGTAAGAAAGGGAGTTGGAGGATTATGGAGATGCTTGTAATTAGAACTTAGAAGGTATAATGACACAAATTTGTATCCATGAAACAATATAAGGGCTTTATAAGGTCTAATACTCAATAAATCGTCTTGGACTTCTCCTAATTCAAGAGTTATATGATTCTAAGATTTTAATTTCACCTATAAGGACTCCTGAGTTTTTTACATAGAAGAGCTTGCTTTAAATCGACAAAGGTTCATCGGCTCCAATCTCTGCCGGCCAGAAGCCAATTTCGTATTAATATAATTGAACAATAATTTCTCACTCGTCGAACAATCTCGAATGACATCAAAGTGACTAATGTCTTGCAACCAAAAAGGGCTCAAACTTGAAGGGGTGAGCTCTTTAAAAGCCAAGAGGCATGGAAAGGACCCCAAAATGCAAACTAATAAGGCCAGACAGATGATCTGATTCCTTGTAAGGAAGATGCTCAATCCAAAACTCAGGTACTTCTTCAACCAATTACTCTCTTTTTGGGGTAGTAACATATGTAATGCGTACTTAGCAATTGAAGATTTGAATAACAATGCCTGTATAAAAAGATGCAGCACATAAAGAATGCTTTTGCATTCTTCCACTAAATTAACAGCAAACATCTCACATCCTCAATTTACTATACCAACAACAAAGCTGAACACTTTCTGTTCCTTTATAATTTTACACCAGGCCAGCCACACACAAACAACTCTATGGCTGCATCCTGAAAGAATTCCTTTTAAAACATTAAACNAAAAAAAGAAAAAAAAAACACCTAACTCATGTGCGGCCAATCCGTCGAATTTCCCGACATTTTACAGCAGCGTTCATTCAGTCACTGTAATCCTCCGACTCCTCTGACTCCGAACCATCGACTCGATTTCCCTTCCCTTGATCATCATCCTCATCTTCTTCTTCTTCTTCTTCTTCATCATAGTTGATAAATCCCATATATCCTTCTCCCTCTATATTCCCACCATCATCTTCTTCATCATAACCATTCACATCATCTTCTTCCTCATCCTCATCCTCCTCACTCATCATCTCATTATCTCTCTTCAAACCTGAAATGCCCCATTTCTCGTATCCCCTCAAATTCGCATTCACACCATCATCATCCGAATCCCCACCATCTTCTTCTTCCTCCATGCCACTGCTACTACTACTGCTCTCATTATTATTCTCAACCATAACATTACTACTATTCCTCGGCACCTCTACAATACTACTTCTAAAAGAGTTCTTCTCGTCTAAATAATCCTGCAATGTCTCGTTTTCGGCTTTCTTCTCCGGTCTCCTCCGGACAGTCCTCCGGCCACGCACGTTCTTCTGCCCGGGAGCCCTCATCCCTTGCTGCATGAGGATTTGGGCCAGAGTCTCGCTTTGTTTCATGCTGCTGCTCTGCTTAACGGGCCTTGATATTGGGCCTGGGCCCTTCTTTTGAGACTTCCCACGAGGCCGACCACCTCGTCCGCGGCTGGCGGGGGTGGTGTCTTGAAGGTTTTCCAAGTTTTCTTCTTTTATGAATCCGAGCCTGTCGGGGCCCACCAAAGCTTCAGCCTTTAGGCCATCCTTCGGGTGACCGTATATCTGCATGAGATAGAAAATGAGTTATATATATATATATAAGGTCATATGAAAATGTGGGTGAAGTAAAGGTGTGCTTGTATATAAATAAACTCAATCCACACTCAATTCATACTCAAAATTCTAACTCAACTTTAACTCAACCTCACTATCATCAATATTATAAATATATTAAATAATATCAACCAATCATTCTTGCACATCATATCAACTTTAATTCAGTATTCATTCACTCGCATAATTTTAACTAACCATCACTTCATATCATCTCTCTCATACTTTTATATCAAATCAACTTTAATTCTTTTATATTAAAATAAATATTATTTTAATATAAAATCAAAATTTAACTAACTAACCAAACCAAAATTTTCAAAAATTAACCCTGGTTAACTAAAAACTTGTTTTGAGTGGATATATTTGTATACAAACACGCCCAGAGAATTACTACTATAGAATCATGAGAGAGAGACTCAACTGGAAGGACTTCTAATTTCTTCCGATCGAGGGACTCGGCCTTCTGGTTTGCAGTATAGAAAATCGACCCGTCAAGCTCCAAAAGCCTAAGACCCACGGCAGCTGAAGTCTTCGGGATCCAAGGGAGTTGAGAAGGGTAACTAAATTCACCAGAAGCAACTCTTGATGAATCTAAACGTAGCAATTCTTCTGTGGTCTCAAAATCTTCCGAGAGATAATCACGTTTAACAGCAGCCTCGAACTGAGTAAGGATCTGCAAGTTTTTTTTGTACCAAGACATGAAAACATAATAAACACAGAGGCTAACAAAAGAGATTTGCCTGAATCAAACGATGTTTTGGGTAAAAATGAAAAAAAAAAAAAGAAATCTGGATAAAATAATGTTTTCTTATAAAATTTATCTCTCAGCGCAAACCTGTAGGAGATCCTCAATGGACGACGATTTCTGCAGCGCTAAACCCCACGCTTTCCTACAGTCTTCAGTCCAGGAAGAATGAAGAGTCTCAGCAGGAAGAGCAGCCTGCCATTTTACATTTTTATTAAATTTGTTACCATTTGGAAAAAATAAATGACCAGATGTGTAAAAAAATTCGGTCATTTAAATATATATTTTACCTCAATCGAAGATAGAATGGTCTTGATCAACCTGATTCCCAATGGAGACCAGTCAACAATATTAGTTTCTCCATTAAACTGCTTCGAAAAACTTCCACTTTCCACAGCCTTGCTTTGAATTTGATGGCAAGAATGACAAGTGTCCACCGAATTGTACGTATCAAGGCAAATCTCACATACTCCCAACACAGGCAAGCACCTGTTTTTCCCATATGCCATGGCACTTACAACCAACGGGCTAAAGCACTCTTTCCATATCCAAGCCTGTAAGTCTTTGTATCTCTTCAGAAAAACCGTTCTCTCAGTCTCATTCCTTCCTGTCTCGATTCTGAATGTAGATAATGGTTCTGACACATCAGAGTTTATATTAAAAACTGCACTACTGGGGCTCCCGGCTTCTTGTCCTGCCTTGTCCCTGTTATCGTCCGAGATGCTGGGGAATAACCGATTCCTTTGTATACGCTGCTTGAAGCAGGCTTCAATCTTTTGCAGCATTATTTGCAAATGGCATTCTCTCGTCCCACGGGTGTCCAAAGATGTCAGAAGAGCATCAAACGCCTGCATATAAAAACCTAAATTAGATTATTATACAAAATCAAAGGCTTAAACAAAAAAAGATACTGTAAAATAACTCAAAGGTGTTTCTGTAATAGCATTATAGAACAAATTGAACGAGATAGATCCAACAAAGAAGATTGTAAGGCATTATTCAGCATGTCCAAGACAAATATCTAATTTGATTTCATCCTTAAGTCTAGACTTGAGAGGATTCAGGTGTTTTATTCCAGGCCAAATCTTTAACAGCATCTCATCCGATGTTTAGGCAAAGTGACAACAGGTTTTCAAATAAACAGAAATATATGAAAAGCCAAACAGAATGAGAAATAAGGGGGAAA